GTGGGCATGTTTCCTCACCGGGAGAGTGGGGATGGTGACACCCAAAAGGTCCCTGATGTATGGTAAGTGTCCGGTGATTAATGCAATCCCTGTGGCCTCAGCCTCCTGTGACCCCCTCCAGTGGGGTGTCCCTGAGCTTGCCTGTGTCAGAACAAAGGCCACGTCACCCTCTGGGACCAGCTCTCTGACCTTGGTTTCCCTGAAGGGACACTGGCCAGCTTCCAAGATGTCTTATGGCAGGACCTATGTCCTGGGAAGCTGGGTCAAGGCCGGCAGGTGGTGTGTACATGCAGAGTGGCTCCCCAGCTTCCCTCTGGGTTTCCCCAGCATAACACTGTTGTAAAGGGCAGGACTCAGTCCTTCCTGGGTGATCCTGCCAGGGCCAAGGCCTCCAGGGCGGAGATGGGCATCCTAAGCAGTTGGTATGCCCCCATGCCACCTCCAGCGCACAGCAGGGCTCGCTCTGTCCTCTCAGGGCTCTGCCATGCCCGCCTTCCTGCCTGCCCAGGCCGTCACTGCCACCCACACCTACTCAGCTCTGGTCAGAGCCTGGTAGCACTCACAGAGGCCTGGAGGAAATGGGCAGGCACCCTCACACAAAGCTGAGTTAAGAACCGGGCAGCATGAAATCCAACCCTGCCGCTCCCACCAGCTGGAGTGACTCTGTGGGTTACATGCGTCCGTGAGGATGGGTACTGACACAGCAGGGCCTGGGTTCTCCTGGAGTAAGGGAGGGCTTCTCCAGGGGACTCTCCTTCCCGGGGAGGGGGAAGCTGTGGGGCACTCTGTCCCCACCTGATGGCTGACCTGACGCCTCCCGGAACCCGCGGCTCACTCTGCTCCTCTTCTGCTCAAGGACCCGCTGTGGCTGCACTGGGGATCGTGTGCAAACTGCCTCACCCTCCGAGCACATCAACTTCCACGTCCCAGCACTCCCGCTGGCCCGGGCAGACACAACTCCTCACTGTGGGGGCCTTCCGGCCTCTGGATTGTTGGTGACACTCCACCGCCCACCTGGAATGATCTTTCTCTCAACCTCTGTCCTTTTCAAGACCGCCTCCTCCACGAAGCCCTCCCTGATAACCCCAGCCCACCTGAGCTTTCCCTTCTCTTACCAGCCATTATCAGACACCACGTCCTTGCTGTCCTCTGATGGAGTGTGGTGGAGAGGGCGGTGGAAGCAGATAAACACAGCCTTGCCCTGCCCATTCCTGGATGGGTAATGCCGAGCAAGCTACTGAGCCTCAGTTTCCCCCTTTCCTAGGGGAGAAACGAGTGCCTCCTCACCCGGCTCACCCAGCCCAATCCTCTCATTTTACATGTGGGAGGGAGGCTGCGGCCCAGAGACAGGAAGTGGCTTGCCCAGATTCACATCTTCAGTGACAAGAGCAAGGCCGCCAGGATGCATTTTCCCTACCAACCCACGGCCTCCTGTCCTTTGAATGCGTTTACACTCCTTTCCCTGGCAAGAGTCTTCCATCCTTTGGTACCCGTCTTGGAACTACAGGGGCCCAGGAGAGAGCCGGGAGTGGCCAGGGGCTCAGCCCTGGGGGGAGGCGGGGACCAGAGGCCTGGGTCCTTCCTGTGCTTCAGCCAGGGGTGCGGAAGAGCTAGTCAGGGGCAGGGCCGAGGAGCCCCCGGATTGCAGAGGGGTGCAAGGCTGGTGACTGCACACAAGGGGGTGGCGGAGAGCTCCCTGAGCGGAGACAGTGTGGGCACCAACTAGAAAAGACGGGGAAAGCCCAGCTGATGCCATGTGGGCAGGAGGCACCCCTCGTTAGTAAACAGCCATGGCCCGGAGTCCCTTAAGTGTCTGCTGCACGTCCATCATCTATTCTGATCGGTCTGCCCACGCTTTACTGGTTGAAAGATATCATCCCCCCAAGAAGAAGCCTGCTGATTGTCAACCACCGCTCATTTTGAGGGCTTCTGAGCAGTAGGAGCGGAGGCGATGGCACCGCTATTGCCCAGTCTGGCCTGCGAAGATCGGCTTGTCACACTCTGGGAGCAGCTGGTCCCATTTCCACGGTGCCCTGGCCCGTGTTCACAAGGCAGCTTTTCTTTCCTCCAGCACCCACTGCGTGCAGAGCAGCCGGAAACGCCTCTCACGCTGCTGGGCAGGTGGGGCTGGCACTTGGGGCGATGGAGCCAGGAAAGGATTAGTAACCAGGCAGCGGGCAGGCGGCTCAGAGCCGTGTGCCCGGGCCAGCAGCTCGGCCGGCCACTTCCTGCTGAGATGCAAGAGGCGGTGGGGGAGCTGCTCTAGCAGCAAGAGGCGGGCACCCTGGATGGTCACAGTGACCTCTGTCTGTCCTTCCGAAATGGAGACACAGAGGGTCCGGGGAGCACCCTTACTCTTGAGAAGCAGGCACGAGGGGGGCCCAGGACCACGGAGGACGCAGGGCCCTGGAGGGTGGATGGGCAGACGTGCTGGCGAGCAGACACCAGCCTATCGGCTTAATGCAGGAAGCCATCTGACAGGAAGCACTGAGTGCCAGCCCCTGTGGTGGCCCCAGAGCAGTGGGAGGGGCGGGGCAGGCTGGGGAGACAGAGTTAATCCGAAGAGCATCAGGGCAGCTCTCTCCAGAAGGTGACCTTGTGTGCTGGGACAGCTGCCACCCGTGCTGGGCATCTTTGGGGCATAAGGGTGGCCGACTGGGCCAAGACTGGCCAGTTCTAGGGAAACCAGCCAAGGCCTTCCCTGTGGCTTACTCTGCTGTCCCCCCACTCCTCTAATCCCTTCCTTCCCTGTGCATCTCAGGCTCTGGAGAACAGGTGAGTGACAGACGACAGGCTGGTCCATGCGGGATGCTCTGTCGGACCACCGAGAGGCCGTTAGCTGGCCAGCTGGGACCTGGAACGTTCCCTCTGGTCAGTCTCCCGCGGACAAAGGGAAAGGTCCTGAGATGAGGCCTCCCCGGCCTCGCCCCTTTAGATTCCCCGACTCCCCCTGCACAAAGAGTTCTGAGTTTGTGTGAGTGGGAGCCCATTTGCACAGAGATGAGTTGACCAGGAAAAGGTGATCCTTCCTGTGGCTTTGACTGGGGGTCCATGAGTACTCCGGGACCCTCCCAGTCCACTTCACAGCTCACTTAGTACCTAGACCCCCTCCTCCTGGCCCGGGGGAGCCGAGTGCTCACAGCTCACCGCCAACTCCCTGCTCCCGACGCGTCCTGCAGAGGCAGCAAGCGTTGCTTCCACGTCATTTCTTCCACTGCCTGTGCTTTTGACAAGCCCGAGCCAGAAAGGCCACATGGACTCGGGCACCCTCCATGTGCCTTCTCAGCCCTGGGCCTTCTCTAACCCTGAGCGAGGAAGAGCATCACGAGTCACAAGTCCCAAGGGTGCCAGGGTCTCTCTCTCGGAACTTACAGAGAACAGAGGTCTTTTTTTTATAACTAAAGTGTTTATTTCCATTCAGTTCACTAACCGGTTGGTCCGCTCAGGTGCCTGCGTTTGCTCACAGGAGGGAGACTGGCCTGACCCCTTGGCTGATGGGTTTTCCCATGGCCGAGACCCTTCACATTTGGGCCGAGGTCTGGAGGAGGGAAGGGGGTAGGAGAGCAACACGTTTTCTCCCAGGGAGGGAAGGAGCATGCCTGCACGCGTCTCTGAGGGCGGGCGATGCTCTGGAAGCTGGGCTATCACAGTGAATGATCCGGGGCCGGGCCTGGTGCAGCGTGGTGTAGGCTCCCAGAGGCGACACTGGGATCTGGCCAGGTGAGGGCAACTCAGGAACCTCACAGGGGCCCGTTTGCCTCGAAAGCACGGAATAGATGGGGGCAGAAGGAGAGTGGACAAGTGGGCAGAGGATTCTGGCGCTGCGGCCTCAGAGCCTATTTCCTGCTCAATCTGCTGCGTTCAAGAAACAATCCCGGGGGGGGGGGGAGATGCTCCTTCCCCTTGGCCCCCCAGCTCTGCCCGGATCTCACTCAGTCTCAGAACGGCCCAGATGGCCCCGTGGCAGTTGGCTTTGGTGAGGCCTGGCGGCAGGCGGGAACTCTGTGCAGGCGGAGGAGGGGAGGGTGTCAGTGAAAACCATATAAAAAATCCACGTTATGTGCATATAAAATCTCGCCCTTGGTGTATTGCCTAAGTCATTAAGCTGAAAGCACCTTCTTCCTAGAGAAGGATCAAGTCCTCGGAAAGTAGGAAATGTCAAAGTGTCACTTCATTGTCATTAAAAAACAAAAACAAAAACAAAAAACAACCAACCAACCAACAAACCCCTAAACCAAATTCACCCCTGACCAAAATATCCCCACCCCAGTCCACGAACCGCTGTAAACAAACCCAGACGCGGGCACAACCGTCCTCAGTGGCAGTTGCAGCTGATGGTGGTCACGGCAGCACCAGTCCTCCGGGTGGGGGCTGTTCGGAGTGGGCGCCCCGCGGGCCGAGCGGCCGGCTGTGCCCGTGATTCTGGACGTGGAGCTGCGTGCCTGGGAGGGTGGCAGCCTCAGGAAGGCGGACCTTCCCGGGGGCCTGTGTTCTCCCAGACCCAGGGAGACAAGGGTCCCTTTTCAGCCCCACACGCCAAGAGGGGAAACACATCTTTTTTTCTTTTTTTTTTTTCCTTTCACTGGAGTTCCTCAGATATCCTCCAAAGACAGAAAAATTCTTCTGTGTGCCCAGAGGCAGTAGGCATGGGTATTCCCAGAGTGGCTGCCCGTCTGTCCGCCAGGCACGAGGCTGTGAAGCGAGGCCCGGAAGAGCAGCCCGGGGGGCAGGAGAGGAGAGTGACCCTGGTCCCCCCTTTTCACATTTGTTTTCCTGAAAGTGTTTCCGTGGCTCCGGCCAGGTCGCCTTCTCCGAGGGAGTTGGAGAGAAACGGCTTCTGATCTCCGATCGGACCATCGCATGGATCTCCCAAGCCCTTTTTCTTTTCCCCCAAGAACAATGCTCGCTTTCCTTAGGAGAATCCTCTTTGAAAAACAGTCCGTGTATTTCCCGCCCCCTCCCAGGACCTATTTTCGTTTGTCCCCATTCCCTTTTCCCCCCCCATCATCTGAGTTGCACGTGTTCTTGGCGACGTCTCATGGCTGGCGGGCTGCTTGGTGCTTCCTGTTGCCGTGGCCTCCTGGCAGGTGGCTGACCCTTCGGTGGACAGAGAACCAGGGAGGCCAGCGTGTGGGGCGGAGGGGGCAGGGCCTGGAGGAGGAGGTGAGCCGAGGCAGGTGAGTGTCAAACCTCCACTGACTGGATCTGGTTCATCTGTGCCCGCATCACCTGGATGCTGTTCAGGATTTTTTTCTGGTGGCCGGCCAAGGTGACCCCAACCCGGAGAATGTCCCTTTGGGGAGAAAAGCACGTGTGTTAGGGGAATGTGGGGGTGGAGGGGACTCTGGGTCAGGCAGAGAGCTGCCTGGGCTTCTCCAGCGTTTCCTGCCGAAAAGAGCAAGGGGCCCAGCCGGCGTGGCTCAGTGGTTGAGCTTCGACCTATGAGCCGGGAGGTCAAGGTTCCATTCCCAGTCAGAGCACATGTCCGGTTGCAGGTTTGATCCCCAGTGGGGGATGTGCAGGAGGCAGCCAGTCAATGACTCTCTCTCATCATTAATGTTTTTCTCTCCTTTCCCTCTCCCTTCCTCTCTCTGAAGTCCATACAAATATTAAAAAAAAAAAAAAAAAAGAGAGAGAGAGAGAGATAGAGAGAGAGCAAGGAAAGGGGGAGGGGTGTGGGGGAGGGGTGTGCATCTGGAGCGGAAGTGTGTGACTACATGAGGTGGAAGGAGAATGCGGCTGGGAGTCTGGGATCGAGGTGTGCCCTCTCTTCTGCTTCTGGGAAAGGAACCTGCACTTCTTAGGCATCCACTCTACATCTCTGTTGCTCCTCCTGCAAACCCCCAGGTCACAGAAGGAAAAACTGAGGCTGAGGGAGCGCCTGTGATTTGCTCAAGGTCACTCAGCCAGTGGGTGGCAGGCGGACCTGGGTGTCGATCAGAACGTGACTCCAAAGTTGGCCATTTCACCCTTTGGTCCCCACATTCTCGCGGGGACACTGCCTATTTTCCACTGTCCTGAGCCCCCCCTTCCCTCCTTACCCCACCCGCTTGGGAGGGTTGGTGGAGGCCGCTGGGCACTTACTCCATCATCATCTGTGACACGACGTCGAAGGAGGTGAAGCCGGCATTGGCGAAGCTCTCCTTGTACTGCCCCATCTTGATGGCCTCCAGCCACTCGTCCACTGTGTTAAAGCTGGTGTAGTCGGGGATCGTGCGGTCCAGCAGTGGCAGGTTGATTCTAGGGGTGGGGTGGGCAACAGAGACAGTCAGGGCACATGCTAGGAGAGGGTGTGGATGGGCTGCAGGTGTGCCTGCACTTGTGTATCCGTCAGCATGAACACAGGTGATTGTGCATGTATGTGCGTATCTCCCTGTGGGAGGTTGTGCGTTTGAACCCGCATACATGTGCACACATCAATGTGTGAATACGAGAAAGCAAGTGTGTAGGACTCAAAGCTGGGGCTACCTGGGAAGTGGGGGGAAGCCTCTGCAGGGACCGCTGAGAGGCCGGGCCACGTGGGAGGCGGGACACACTTCCTATTTCAGCAGGAGGGAGCTCCGGGGGACTCACTGCTGATGACCCTCCTCCCCCAGTGCCACTCTCCATCCTTGTCCACCCTGGTGGTGCTGTAAGAAGCTGAGATGTGGACCGACTCTCCAAAGTCCAGACGAAGCTGGTGCGCTAATGGGAATGGCTTCCTGGCTGGCTCATACGGCTACAAGCTCACAGTATTTGTATCGGAAAGTCAGGAGCTGTTGACTCAGGGTCAAGGTGAGAAGCGACAGGTAGAGGCCAACACGAAGACCTGCTGGCCACAGGAGCCAGGTGTGTGAGTCTCTGACCCAGCTAGCCCTGGACCCCAAGGACACCTGACTGGACCCCTGCTCCTCAGAATCCCTGTGTGACTGAGGGTCCCAGAGAGGGCTGGGTTATGAGTGGGGCCTGTGACAGCGCCCAGGCAAGGCTGTGGCAGCTACAGGTGTGATGAGCCCTCTGTGGGGGCACGTGTGTATGGTGAGTCTGTACTGCTGAATGTGAGTGCTCAGGTGCCTGTGTATGTATGTAAGTGCGAGTGTGAGAATGGGTATATTCATGTGTGAGATTGTGTGTGTGTGAGAGGGAGAGCATAACCATGAGCATTTGTGCCTATGTTCATACGTATGTGTAGGACTATGTTCTTGTGCATGTGTGCACCTGTTTGTGTGTGTGTGTGTGGGGGCTGTGTCAAGGAGGATGCAAACGCAGAGAGTACAGGTTTGAGTGTGAGGGCAGTTCGGGAGGAAGCTTAGGAATGAGTAGATCCATTTACTAACCAAGGTTCTGCTAACTTTGCTTAGACACAGTTCTATCTGATCATTCTTTCAAAGGGCTTCCTCTCGCACCAGCGGGCACTGGGTCCCGCACTCCTCTGCACCCCACAGCAGTGCAGATACCCCACAAACTACCCTGCTCCATCCCAATCCGGGCAGAGTATCTACGTGAGGCAGGGCAGCCAGGGTGGGAGGGTATGTGAGAGGGCTAGGGCCAGCTGGGGTGGAGCCACAGAGAGGGGCAGGGCCGTACCCAGAAGAGAGGGGCGCCATGGCTTTGAGGCTGTTGGGGTTGCGGATCATCTTGTCCAGCGTGTTGACGATCTGCCCAAACTTGGGCCGGTGGTTGCGGTCCTTCTGCCAGCAGTCCAGCATGAGCTGGTGCAGGGCGCTTGGGCAGTCCATGGGCGGGGGCAGCCGGTAGTCCTGCTCTATGGCATTGATCACCTGGGGACAACAGAGGGGGCTGAGTGGGGTGGGTGGGTGGGTAAGAGCATCTGTCCTCTGGCCTGGCCTACCTTCCCTACAGTGCATTTCACAGCACACCTATGTGGTTGCCCTCCAACTCTTCCCGGCAACCTTCCAGGCCCAACCCAGGGATGGGCCTCCAGGTATAGCCCCAGCCTCCCCCGGCAGCTGGGTGCTTGCCTCCCCCGTCCCAGTCTTAGGGAGGCCAGAACCCTGAGATAGCCTCTTGTCTCAGGATCCACCCTCTCCCCCAACTCGGGGCCCCCTCCCGGCTTTGATGGCCCGAGGACTCCTCCTCCTGGCTCCTGACCACCTCTGGACTTCAGTGCGGTTTTCAGCTCCAAGTGAGAGATGCCTTCCTTGTCAGGCCTCACGGCACAGACTGGCACCCCTTCCCATGGCTCCCACCTGGTTCTTCTGTCAGGAAATGGAACTGAAACACCTGCCTCCCATCTGTCCTGCCACTGGGGCCAGACTCATCTTCCCCAGCTTGACAGGGTCACCCTCCCTGCCAAGCAGCTCCTTCGAGTCCGCCCTGTCCGCATTGTTGCAAATAGGAATTCCTTGAGTTGACTTTCGTACACCCCATGATTGAACCTCATCTACCTTTCCAACCACTTTCCTCCCCACTGCTCCCAACGCAACCCCTCACCACCCCACCTCTGGGCCTTCTTTCCACTGGAATCCCTCACGTCTGCAAGTCCCACTGCTGTGTGAGTCCCTCTGTCCCGTGAAGACTTCCTAAAAGGTTAGCACCTGATCCTAAAAGTTCCCAATAACTGCACCTGGTACCCGGAATAAGTGTATTGTCCCCAAATTAAACACGTGAGGGGCAGACATAGTGTCATTCAGGGCAGGCCACAAGATGAATACATCCTCAAGATTTGCTGATTTGTAGATGATGGACCTTCCTACTCCTGAGCCCCCGGAGAGTCCAGGGTCCTGTGCAGACATGTGACTCAGCCATTACAGGATCTCAGAGATGGTGCTCCCACTCTCCGGGAGATGGGCAAAGACCAGGAATGTGGGGACCCCCCTTGCCCCACCTGGCTGGCCAGAGACACTCTCTCCTGGAGACTTACGTCCTGGTTGGTCATGTCCCAGTAGGGCCGCTCCCCGTACGACATCACCTCCCACATGACGATACCATAGCTCCACACGTCGCTGGCTGAGGTGAACTTGCGGTACTGGATGGCTTCCGGGGCTGTCCAGCGGATGGGGATCTTCCCACCCTGGGGAGCAGAATGAGGAGGGTGGATGGGTGGGATGCGGGCCAGTCTGGCCTCTGCTCTCAACATGCCCCGCCATATGCCCTGTGCTGTACCAGTCCTATGAAGCATCTTACTGTTCCCAACCTCAGCATACTGCTTCAGATCTCAGGGCATTTGCACATGCTATTTCTCTGCAGGCAGTAGCTTTCCCCAACCTCCCATCTGGAAACCTCCTTCTCATCCTTTAAGTCCCTCTGAAAGTCTTTAAGTCCCAATTGTTGCTCACTCTATTGAACCCTACAACTGTGCCTGTATCTCCACCAAAGAGGCACTTCCCATACGGAGGAGTACTCTGGTCATCTGCTACTTGTCTGGCTCCGAGGGCAGGGACTGTGTCCTGTTCCTTCTTGTTAAAACCCTTCACCAACCCAAACTGCTTTCAGGAGAGGGTGGTAAGCCTGGGCATTCAGGATCTCCAAGATCTGGCCCTGCCTCACTCCCCAAACTCTTGCCCACCACTTTTACCTCGCAGCTTGCGTCCTGGTATCATCTTACCATGAGACCATGGCCTCTGACTAACTTTCACCGGCCCTTCAGCCTTAAGCTCAGATAGCACCCCATCTAGCAAGCCTCCCCAACCTTGTGTCCTGGCTCCTAGCCCTGTCCCTCCATATTGCTCTGTACATATGTGTCCCCCTCCAGCCTGTGAGCTTCAGGAGGGCAGGAACCATGTTTCTGTCTCTGCATCCCCAGGGCCGGGCACGGTGCTTGGCACGAGCAGGTGAAAATGTACTGCAGGGCAGTTGGATGTGTATGCCCTCTTTCCTGGCACCGTGACTCCATCAGCATCTTACCAGGGCGCTGGTGTAGGTGGGGTCTGAGGTATCATCCTCCAGGAAGCGTGAGAGGCCGAAGTCGGACACCTTGCAGACCAGGTTGCTGTTGACGAGGATGTTGCGGGCGGCCAGGTCGCGGTGCACGTAATTCATGTCTGCCAGGTACTTCATGCCGGCCGCGATGCCCCGCAGCATGCCCACCAGCTGGATGACTGTGAACTGCCCGTCGTTTTGCTTCAGGAGAAGTGGAGAAGACGCCAAGTCAGTGGGAGGGTCTGCATCAGACTCTGGATGGTGTTCACATTGGGAAGGCAGGGCCCACCCCCTGGCCTAGGCTCCGTTTCAGGGGCTCAGGGACCATAGGCCTGGGGGATTGGGGGAAGTTTCAGGGTGGTGGAGAGAACAGACTGTGCAGCAGACACGGTTGGTTTGAGTCTGGCTCTACCCCTTGCTGTCTGTGCAACCTTGGACACATGACCTAGTGTCTCTGAGTCTCAGTTTCCTCGTGTGTGTGCTAAGTGGAGATAAGTGACAACCACCTTCCGGGGCTGTCTGAATTAAACAAGAGGGTATATGGGAGGGGCCTGGCTCATATGAGGTACTTGGAAAATATCTGCTAAATAGTAATTAGGCCAAAGCATACTTCCGACTCCTCGTCAGTGCTGTCTGTCTGTCTGGTTGACTGCGACCTCCTAGGGGGCCTGGAGTTTTCTTCGGGGCTCTGAACAACTCCTCTGGCCTGTAGTGCTCTGGAGGAATCCAAAATCAGTGAAAATTCTGGACTGGGGGTCTAAAGACCTGGTCCCAGTCCTGGTTTTCACCTTGACCCTCTGGATGACCCTGGACAAACCCTACCTCTTGAGCCTCAGTTTTCCTTTGTGCATAATGTGGAGGCTGGCTAAGAGCATGGATGGCAACCACTTTCAGGTTGTATGCTAACTCTGGTCAACTGGTTGTGGTTTCCTGGATGGAGTCTGAGATGTGCTTTGGAGTGTGGTTGGAGAGATTTCTGGGATTGATAAGTGATGTCGGCCGTGGGCAAGGGAATGGAAACTGACTAATGTACAGGCCGTTCCTGATCTAGATCTTTTCCAAAACCCTTTGCGGCTCTGACTGTATAGGAAGCTATGCCCGCCGCTCCTTTTCCTGCCCCGCCCACGGCCCCCTACCCGGAGGAAGGAGTCCAGGGAGCCGTTCTCCATGAACTCGGTGACGATCATCACAGGCGTGCTCTTGGTGACAACACCCTCCAGGTGGATGACGTTGGGGTGGTCGAACTGGCCCATGATGGAGGCCTCGCTCAGGAAGTCCCGGCGCTGCTTCTCCGTGTAGCCCGACTTGAGCGTCTTGATGGCCACAAAGATCTCTCTCTTGCCTGGCAGTTTCAGGTGGCCACTGCACACCTCACCAAACTCCCCTGGGCAGACACACCAAGAGGGGCAAGATGTCACATGCCAGGCAGAAGTGTCACTTCCCCGCGCCCTGTAACCCCCATGCCTGGGGCTTCCTCAATGTCCAACTCATCCTCTTGGACACAGAATCCCTTTGTAGACTGGGGGGGCCCACCTTTGAGAGGAAGAGTCAACTCTTCATGGCTGTCCAGTGGTGTTTGGCTGGCATGGGGTGAGGATATAGGGGGTCCTGGGGAGATGGAGGATGGGGCATAGGATGAGTGTGGGAAGGACAAAGAACTGGGCGGAGTCCAGAGAACTGGGTTCCAGGCTTAGTTCCATCTCTGATGTGATGTACACATTCCCTCCCAGCCCTGTGCCTCAGTGTCCTTATCTGTGGATGAGGTAGTTTTACTGGATGGCGTTTGGGGGACTTATCCATTGGGCATTCTGAGCCTTCAGGCCTTGGACGGTCCTTTGAGGGTTCTGCCCCACATCCTACACTGTCTCAGGAGTACACATGGGGGTGGATACACGTGGTTGATGTCACAGCACCTGGGAGGGCACCAGCCACCTACCTGCTCCGATCACCTGCTCAATTTTGACACAGGAGATGTCAATTTCCTTGGCAAACTCCCGCACTGCCTCATTGGGGTCCTCGTAGGTGAATGGGTCAATGTAGATCTTCATGCCTGGGGTCACTGAGGGATAAGACAAGGCTTGGTCAAATGCACAGATTGAAGATGTGGACACATGAAAAGGGGAGAGCCAATCCATTCATGGATGGACATGTACCCCCCTGGGGTCCCCCCCCCCTAAGAACTTGGCCACCCCCTGCAGGCCACTTGACCTCTCTGGGCCTCGGTGAGCAGATGGGCACTGAACAGAAGCGTGAGGGGAACAGATTGCTCAGCAGGGATAGCAAATAGGTTCTAGCTCTTGTTCCAATTCTAATGGACTTCCTGGAGCTGCTGAAATACGGTCAGGATTGATTAGCAATGTCTGTTATGCGTGTGGGCATAAAAGGAAGAAAGGATAGATAGGGTTGTCACTATTGAGATAGAGAATCAGGAGGAAGGAAGTCAAGAAGGAAAGGGAAGAATTGTAATAAAAATACAGAAAGAGAAGGCAATAGATTGTGTTCTTGGGTTTCTGCTAAGGAGGTCTTCCTAGTTTTTAAGGCCTAATTCAAGCCTTCTCTCCCCCAGGAGACCCGGGCTGCCTCACCATGGCTCCTGGGACCACCTCCGGGGTCCCTCACTGGCCAAGTCTTTAAACCTTTCTGGATCTCAAATTCCCTGTTGATCAGCATGAGGCAGGATACGGACATAATTCCTGATGTGATGTGAATTTTTATTTTTTTATGCAGAGGAAGGAAGGAGGTGATTTGGATTTCAAAGACCCAATTCTGACCCTAGCACTGAGTCCACAAAAGCTTTGGGGGAAAAAAAGGGAAAGATGATCCATCCCACATTGCCCCTCCCAGATAAATGGTCTTCTGCTTCTCTGACCATCTGGCCCTCTCTCAGCCCTGGCTTCCCTCTGGCTTCCCCAGCTCCCTGCCCACATCCTCCCACTGCTCTGGGGCTGGGACTTTCTGGTAGCAGCTGTAGGAGTTGGGAACTGGAGTCCCTGGGTCACAAGGAAGACTTGGTTGGTTGATGAGTGGGGCCATTAACCCTGAGCAGATAGTGTGACCTTGGACACGTTAGTTGAGCACTCTCAGCCTCTGTTTCAGACATTCCAGGAATCCAGAGGTGGAACATCTACATAGGGATTGGCAAACTGGCCCACTATTTGTTTTGAAATAAGGTTTTATAAATAAAGTTTTATTGGAACACATTCCTTTTGCCTGTGTGGCTGAGTTGAGTAGCTAAATTAGAGACTATATGGCTCGAAAGCCTCAAGTATTTACTATCTGGCCCTTTACAGGAAAGTTTGAGAACCACCACTCTAACACCTGAGCTTTATTTTGGATTATTTGTCTAACAGTGGTCAGCAAACTCATTAGTCAACAGAGCCAATTATCAACAGGACAATGACTGAAATTTCTTTTGAGAGCCAAATTTTTTAAATTTAAACTTCTTCTAATGCCACTTCTTCAAAATAGACTCGCCCGGGCCGTGGTATTTTGTGGAAGAGCCACACTCAAGGAGCCAAAGAGCCGCATGTGGCTCGCGAGCCGCAGTTTGCCGACCACGGGTCTAGCCCTTTAGGTCAGGGTTTCTTAATCTGAGTCTGTGAACCACTTGGCAGTTCTAGGGTGGGTTTTGGGGCAGGACAGGGGGTGGAGTCTGGTAACCTCTTAAAATGGAATACATTTATTACTATTGCCCTTTTTAATTAAAAAAGTAATGCTAGTTCCTTATAGTCTGAAAATTCTGGAAGTAAATATTGTTGAAAGTAAAAGTTCTCCAAAACCTATCCCTCAGTGTAGACTTTTCTGGGTTTTCCTATCTTGTAATTTTATACACACACATAGGCAAACTTTTGTTTCTCTGGCCATAGGATCCAAAACTTTTAGCTGTCTCAGAGGAGCCTGGGACCCTCCCCACCAAAGGGGTTCAGATCCACAATGCTGGCCTGTGGGAGCCTGGGGGGGGGGGGGGGGAGGTGGGAGTGTGATTCTCTCTCACTCGGCCCTTCCCTGGGGCACTGCATAAAGCTCTGCACAAAGCAGACACGCAGTGTCAGAGCTGAGCAGAATCCAGATGACGGAGACGGAAGAATAGCAGTTCCTATTTGCTGAGGCCTTTGTCTGTGCCTCACTCTGTGGCAGGGTCTTGATATGCATTCTCTCTCTCCTCTGCTCGACAACTCGAGGAAGGTGTCATTATTCTCATTCCACACACGTGGAAACTGCAGTTCAGAGAGGCAAGTCATCTGCCCAAGGCCACACAGCTAGCCAGTGGCACAGCCGGGATTTGAACCCATGTCTGTCAGGCTTGAGCCAAGGGCCAGTCCTCTTAATTACCATGCTCCCTGCCTCCTGGAGTATTCAGCCAGGACTCCTTCTTCCCCAAGCCAACCCCCCTCAGAGCAGGGACACAAGCTCCCTGGGGATGCTCCTCCTTTTTTTGTTCGGACTCTGATTGGCCTGTGGGTCTGGGGGGCTGGCTTTTAGCCTCCCTCCTCATAGAACTGGGGGAAGCCCTTCCTGCTGGGTCAGCTGGGAGGGACGACAGGAATGGGTCAGTTCAGGGAGCTAAGGAGAAGCACAGAAAGAGCTCAAAGCCTGCTTGGGTGCTGCTAACCGATCAGATGCCATCCCCAAGTGTCACCAGAGTGATGATCAGGAGGACAGAAGCCAGTGCCTTCACTGGCATTCCATGCCCTCAGTGATGGGTTCCACGGATAGCCCCCTGATCCTCTGCATGCCAGCAAAGAGGAGTTATATACCCAGAGGTCCCAGAAACACCTCGCAAGTTACATTCATGTGGTTCCAATCACGTGGCTCCCTCCACCTGGATCACCCTTCTCTTCCTCTTTTGTCCAGAACAAGTGCCACCTCCTCTGTGAAGCCTGCCTGGGTCCCTCCCATGGAGACCCATGCTTACTCCTCCGGCTCCCGCAGCCCTGTTTCCACACCCACTCCTCTGGCCCTGATGTCTACGTGGCTTTTTTTAACCTTGTATTAGGGGTCCCAGACATGCATGCTCAAACCACACCCCCTCCTTTCTGGAACACTCTGCCGCCTGGGAGGGCTTGCTGTACCCTTGCTGCTCCAGGGCACAGAGGCTGTGTCTGTTGTACACGCTCCAGCCCAAGGGCTGGCAAGGAGGCTGCTAACTAAATGCTTTTTGATGGAAGAATTGCATCACTCACTGACGTGCCCTCTTTCCCCCTCTCCACCTCTTTGGGGTCATGAATGCCTTTGAGAATTTGGCAAAAGCTATGGATCCGCTCCTTGGAAAAACATCTACATGTGCATACACTCCCATATTCAGAATATCATTTTGGAAGTATAGGCCCTGAAGCTCTAGGGCAGTGGTCGGCAAACTATGGTTCGAGAGCCACATGCGGCTCTTTGGCCCCTGAGTGTGGCTCTTCCACAAAATACCACGGCCTGGGTGAGTCTATTTTGAAGAAGTGGCATTAGAAGAAGTTTAAGTTTAAAAAGTTTGGCTCTCAAAAGAAATTTCAATTGTTGTCCTGTTGCTATTTGGCTCTGTTAACTAATGAGTTTGCCGACCACTGCTCTAGGGGTTTGTGAGTCCAAAATAATGAGCCCAGAATATTTTCTCTGGAGCACATATGTGAAGGAGGTACACAGTAGATGCTCAGTAAACACTCACTGAAGGCAGGACTCTGAGCGAAGTCATCCTGCTTCTGTGACCCTTTGGCTTCACCTCACCCTTCAGAGCACCATTGGCTTGCAGTTCAATGTGGATTCCCAGGCAGCACACCCTGTTCTAGGCATTCACAAGGTACCGACCCAATTAATCCTCCTAACAACCCTACCGGGTAAATGCTATTTATTACACCGAGCCTTATGAAATTGTCACTATTTGACTGCTTTGGACCTATAAAAACGACAATTTCATTTGGTCCAACCTACTGTTGCACCTCCCTTTTCTTGGGTGAAGAAAGGATAGCATAAGAAAGGTGAAATGGCCGAAACCGGTTTGGCTCAGTGGATAGAGTGTTGGTTTGCGGACTGAAAGGTCCCAGGTTCGATTCCGGTCAAGGGCATGTACATTGGTTGCGGGCACATCCCCGGTAGGGGGTGTGCAAGAGGCAGCTGGTCGATGTTTCTCTCTCATCAATGTTTCTAACTCTCTATCCCTCTCTCCTCCTCTCTGTAAAAAAATCAATAAAATATATTTAAAAAAAGAAAGAGAAAAGAAAAAGAAAAGAAAAAGAAAGATGAAATGACCTGCCCAAGGGGACACAGACCAGGCCGTACGTGGCAGGAGTGGGGTTTGAATCAGGTAGTCTGGCTGAGTCTATCCTGCCAGCATTTTCTGCTGCTTCCCAGCTCGTATCTCGGAATCGAAGGGGAGCTTATGGCCACAGCCGTGCACAAGACCTGGCCCGAGGTTGGGTGATAAGCCCTGCATGCAGACCCTTCAGAAAACACTGGGCTGTTGTTCAGAGGAGGCATGACTGTCAGGGCCATCGCCTCGCATCCTGAACCTACAGGGGAAATCCAGGATGAGCAAGGAGAGCCCAGGCATTGAGAGTCCTGGGTTGGAATTCTGGGTCTGCCAGAAATGATGTCACAGAGAAACAGGACATCCCACCGGGGGCTGGCAGGGACTCAATGAGGATCTTTTCAAAGGGCTTGTAGAGTAGCTGGCAAATAGAAGGCACTAATGGTTAACTGTTATAATGAAGAGTTGGCTATTGTTAAATACTATTATTACAAAGCACTTTAATATCCATCCATTTATTTAATTCTCACAATTTTGTGAAAAAAAGTATTATTCCTGCCACTTCCCATATAAAGATGCCAGCCGGCCAGCGTGGCTCCGTGATTGGGCATCGACCTCTGAACCAGGAGGCCATGGTTCCATTCCCGGTCAGAGCATATGCCCGGGTTGCAGGTTCGATCCCCAGTGCGGGGCATGCAGGAGGCAGCCAATCAATGATTCTCTCTCATCATCGATGTTTCTATCTCTCTCTCCCTCTCCCCTCCTCTCTGGAAACAAAGGGGAAAAAAATAAAATAAATAAAGATGCGGAGACTGAGAGAGGTTCGATGACTTCCCCAAGGCAACCTAACTGGCCAGTGGTGGAGTAAGAATGAGACATCAGGTCAGTCCCTCTGGCTCTACATCCAGGCACCACAGCCCCTGGCATTCATTCAGCACCTGCTGAATGACGGAATACAGGAGCCCACAAAGGGGACACAGCCAGTCACACCCCTCTCAGCTTCCTCCCGTGCCCTGACCACACAGGGAGGTCTGCTGGTGGACCTGGGACCCCGGGGCTGGCAGTGCTTTGAAACGAACAGACCTGCTCGGACACAGGGAGTGAGCGTCGGTTTTCAATTGCGTTGGTCTATGAGTCAATCCCGGGTCTATTTTTTAAAATAGGTCCCTGCTGTCCCCTGTCTCCTTGTTACTCTCTCTCTGAACAGTGATGCTCCCAAATGGCTCCAGGTGACAGCGTGTGCGAGCCTGTCTTCTAGCCCAGCCAGGTGAAGGCAGCACCGTGTGGCTGAGAGGCTGCACGCTGGAGCCTGACACCCTCGGTTCCCACCCAGCCCCTGCCCGAGCGGCTGCTGACTCGTATTCACAGTGGGAAATTATAAGGACCAAAGGAATGCGCACATGAAAAGCAAGAAAACAACTCTTGGCACACAGAATACAGCCAATATGGTTAGCTACCTCTGCGACCATGATTTTATAACTTGGGGAGTCGGAGGCGTGATGTAATTTATGACCTTTACGTGGATGTGCAGGTGATGTTTATTTCCGTGTAGTTAAATCTGTCTGCCCTTTTCTTTGCTTTTACACTTCCGACAGTCCTTTTCTTTTCACAGAACAGTTAAATGGTTACCTAAACTGCCTTCTGGAAATTTGAATGGTTGAATCGTTGTTCCATTTATGTCCACAGTGATTGTTAAGCTTAACAGGAACATTTACTTCAAACTGAGTTTTACCCAGAGGCTTCACCTGGAATTCCCAACTCTGCCCTTTTTGCCGACCCCCCACCTCCAGTCCTGTAACAAAGTTAGTGGTTCTACCTTCAAAATATGTCAGAATCCAACCACCTCCCACCATCTCCATCACGGCTCCTGGTCTAGCCATCATCATACCATCCCTGGATTATCCCAACCACCTCCTACCATCTCCATCACGGCTCCTGGTCTAGCCATCATCATACTATCCCTGGATTATCCCAACAGCCCCCTCCCGGGTCTCCCTCCTCTGTCCTTGCCTGGCCACACCTCACCCTTCCGTGCATTTTCCACATGGCAGCCAGGAGAGTCTTGTCCGAACTGTAATGCAGAACCCGTCTGTACTTTGCTTAGGTCCTTCTAGAAGCTTCCCAGTTCATTCAGAATAAAAACCTAGGCCCTGCTCTGATTGACAAGAACCTGCATGTTGTGGCTCCTCCTAGCTCCCCCTCCTGCCCCCTCACCCTGCTCCAGTCACACTGGCCCCGTGGCTGTTCCTGAGCCCTCCCAGACACAGAGCAGGCTCAGGGCTTTTGCATTGGCTGCTCCGCGGCCTTGGATGCTCTTGGCTGAGGTCTCGCTGCACAGCTCCCCTCTCTCTCCCCCTCTCCCCCGCCCCAGCTCCTTAGTATCTTTCTTCAAACGAAACTCTCAGCAAGGCCAACCCTGACTCCCCTAGTTAAAAACACAGCCCTGAACCCACCACTCTGCTTCGTTCTTGCCTTTCCCCACAGCATTTCCATCTTTTAATATATCATATGCTTTACTCGTTTATGACATTTTTTTTTTTTTTTTAATTCTCTGTCCCTGACACTAGGATAGAAGTTCATGGGGGCAAGGGATATTTGGTCTGTTTCCTTGTATGTCCCAGCACCTATAACGGGGCTGGCAGACATGGGAGGCTACAACAAACATGCGACAAGTGAATGGCCAGGCTGATGGCCCCCCTTTATCCAGGGGCCATCTGTGGAACCCTAGGGTACCCCACTGAGTACAGTTTGAGAACACAGACGGCAGCCCTGAACCCGCTGGGGTGGGGTCAGGAAGGCTTCTTTCTCAGAGGCAGAGGAAGAGACGCTCAGGTCAAGAGGACAGGAGAGTGATCAGGCAGAGGGAGCACCATGTGCAGAGGCCGAGGTGGCGGCGAGCACGGCACGTTCAGATCACGCGGTCTGACTGCGGCAGAAAGAAGGCTGGAGGAGTTGCCGGGAACTGGCAGTGCAGGGCCCGAGGGCGGCAGGCCCCTGGGGGATACGTACTGTGGCCGCTGGTGTAGTGCTGCAGCTTGTCAGTGTACTCCGAGTCCGCACGCTCAAACCCCCGTCTTCTGGAACAAGAGCAAAGGGCTGGAGCCACCTGGAGGCGCTGGGAGCCACAGCAGGTGGTAGGGGGAGGGGCGGGGGGGCAGGCCTTTGAAATCACATTCCTGTCAGAGGCCTCCCTGCCTGCCCCTCGCCTACAGCCTCACCCGTCCGGGCCCCACTCATCTCTCCCCACTCTCCCCCTTCAAGTCCAGGCTCGCTGTTTCCCCATCCCCTCTCCAGCCAAGCCCCTTTCAAAGAGCAAAGTCATCTCCTCTGGCCATGGCCCCTGGCCCCAGAAACCCTGGGGCTTCGTCCATCTGACCTTATGACCCATGTCCTCTAAAGTGGGGAACTCCTGCCCAGCCGGTGTGGCTCAGTGGTTGAGCTTCAGCCGATGAACCAGGAGGACATGGTTTGATTCCTGGTCAGGGCATGCGCCCAGCTGGTGGGCTTGATCCCCAGTGTGGGGCATGCAGAAGGCAGCCCATCAATGATCCTCTCTCATTGTTGATGTTTCTGTCCCTTTCTCCCTTTCCCTTCCTCCCTGGAATCATTACAAATATATTTTAAAAAATAAAGTGGGGAACTCTTTAAGGAAGAAGAGTTTCTCTTTGCCTTTCCCCAGCAGAAGTTAGGGAACCACACCCCCTTCCTGCACAGCCCACCCCAGCCAGGTGGGGTGCTCTTCCCCCACCTCCTCCTGCCAGGGTCCTCTCTGTCTTTCCAGCCACCTCAGCCAGGAGGCCTTCCCTGAGCGCCTCAACCTCCCGTCTGACACTGCTTCTGGCCCTAATCATGAAGGGGCCTCAACCAGGGCAAAGGCAGGGCGATCTGTTTTCCCTCCCCATCCCCTCAGCTCCCAGCATCCCGCGGTCCTCCTGCCCGCTGCTCTGAGATGTTCTTCATGCTGACGTATTAGCGTCTCAGGGCGCCACCCTGAACAGTGTACTTGTCCAGGGCAATGGGATGGGCTGCTAAGGGGGCCATTTAGGAGGGGGTGGGAGAGGCCAGTTGGGGGTACCCAGGCCGACCCGGGCCTCTCCCCGTCCCTCGTACTGCTGGAAATGCCTCCTCTGTTCACAGGAATGGCTGGATGGCCGCACGCCAGGCCTGGGGAGCGGGGGGCACCCACCCACCACCCACCTGTTGCACACGATGGCGATGACGACCACGGCGATGAGGAAGACCAGGGCCGCCGCCGAGGAGCCGACGATGAGGGGCAGCTTCTCCTGGATGCTTGTCTGGTACTCGGCTGGGGAGAGAGCGCGGCGCAGTGTGCTCAGCCCGGCCCCGGGAGTCCTCCCAGCCCGGCGCCCTGTGGGGTCTCCCTGGAGGCCAGGCTCCGTGCTCTGTTCCTGCTCCTCCCAGGGCACCTGCCCCAGGCGCCGGGGGAGAACTGGCTGTCCCCGGCTCACAGGTAACCTTGGACAAGGCCGGGAACTGCTCTGACTCTCACGTTCTCACCAATAACACGGGCATCACACCCACACCTCAATGTTGATGTGAAAATCAACAACAATAAGCCGGCACAGAAGGAGAGTCAGGGATAAGCACAGACGCTGAGGCCAGACTCCCCGGGTTAGAGTCCCAGGGGTGCCACTTTCTGTCTGTGTGAACTCTCGTACAGGGACTGACCTCTCTGTGGCCCAGTTTCCTCCTCTGTAAAGTGGGGAGAATCATACTTCCCATTTCCTAGGACTGCCGTGGAAAGCACCTGGTAAACACTCAGTAAATATCAACTATTAATGTTACCGAGTGTTTTAGGGGTTGGTCATTGCACTAAGTATGCTATGTATCTTGTTTGATTCTCGGAACAGCCCCGTGTTGCACTGCCTATGTTAACCCATTTTACAGATAAGGAAACTGAGGCTTAGTGAGGTCATGACTTGTTTGAGGTCACACAGTTAGAAAGGCCGTAGGCTTAACTGAGATGATTCGTAAAATGCACTCAGCATTGGCCTTGCTCTTGCAAACCACTCAGTACTTTCTCAATGTCACCAACATCATCATCGTTTTAAATTCTATTATTATTCCCATTTGCTTTCATGGCCAGACGGGCTTGTCAAAGTCAGGGACAAGGTCAGTTCTGGGTCTTAGCGCCAGCACACACTTGTTGAATAATAAAGGAAGGATCTGGGACACTTCCTTAGTACCCATGTCAGTAACGCTCACCCAGCATTCTGGAGGGCTGAGAAAGGTGAAAATGTTGGCTGTGAGAAAGGGGCTTGGAGAGAGAAACTAATGCTGGAAGAGATGGGGGCACTGTGAGGGACAATGCTGGAGCCTCATCATAAAAAAAGCTTGGCTGGTTAGTGGAACGGCCCCAGGCTCACGGAAATGACAACTATAACCTAAAGTACTATTTGGTGAGCGCTATGTGAGAACTAGCACCAACCCTGTGCTAGGTGCTGTACATTTATCCCCATCCTTATCCTATGATGACAATGAGATAGTTGTTATCATCCCCCTCTATAGAAGAGAAAACCTGAGGCTCAGAGGGTTAAGGTAAGTTGTGTAGGGCCAGACATTTAGGGCTGAATCTCCGTTGTAATTTCCATCTGTCAGGCACCAGAGTACGCTCTTTAACTATGCTGCCCTTAAAAGATTATTAGAGCGGGAAAGGTACTTAGAGACCATGTGGTCCCAGACTGGGAGACACAACACATCATGGCTTCAACCTCCCATGCTCTTCCCCGGGGGGTAGACATTATTAATCCATCCCAGCGCTTCTCCCCGCTGAACTGGTGTAGAGATGAAGTAGTTTTGCGTTTTCAGATTGCATAGGATGCTTTCGTTTTACAGAGGAGGGAAATCTGGACCACAGGATGGGTGTGACTTGCTCAGAGGGACTGCAGGACAGGGCTGAGCTCCCAGGAGTCGTGGGAAAGGAAGTGGCCTGGCTGACACGCTGGTGACGGAATATCACCATCCTTTATATATGGCTGTGCCGTCTGCACAGGGCACAGAGGCTCCCAGCCAGGAGGGAAGGAGGGCTGACTGACAGCAAGGGGCAGGGGCGCCGTTTCTAATGTGCACCAAGGCGCTTTGTAGGAAGGTGGCTCTCGAGTTTGTTCTGTTGGGGGAGTCGGCGCCCCCCCCCCACCCCCCCTGCCCTCTGGCACCTCTTACCTTCTGTCATGGTCTGGAAGTACATCTTGCCACTGTAGCGCCCATAGCCCGCCACGGTGCGTGCCCGCACCTGGAAGACATAGATGGCGCCGGCTTTGAGGCCCTGCACAGTGACTGTGTTGGTGGGGCTTTTTATGGCCGTGGCGTTGTACTCACTGAGCTCCTGCCGAGGAACAGAGAAGACAGTTAGCGAGGTTGTTGCCCACAGCGGGCCCACAGCCCACTGACCACTCCTGCCACTCGCAGGGGAGTGGCGGGGGGTGGGGGGTGGGGAGGATTCTGGCCACCAGATAGATAAACATCTGTGGTTATCAATTCTTCACTCCCTCCCAGGAACAGAATCACACACCTGCAGCCTTTGCATGTGATTTTTGTAACACAAGAAAAGGCAGAGTGTGTTTCTCCCCCCTCATGGATGCCGAGTTTGTCTACGTGACCTGCTCTGGCCACTGGAATATTCTAGGGGACATGATGCACGCAGGGGCGTTACATATGCTTGTTGATTTGGCTTGGCCTCTTGTGATTCTGCAATCTGCCATGAGGTGGGGCTTAGTCTGGGTAACAACTAGTTCCAGAAAGAGAAAAAACGGGGAAAGGATCCTGACCTAACTTCTAGAGTGAAATGGAGCCGCCTCCAGCTAACAGACAGATACAACCTATGAGTAAGGAAAACAGCTACTTGCTGTAGGTTACTGGATTGGGGGTTGTTTGTTCTGCGGCACCATCTCAACAACAGGTGACTAATACACATATACTGAGTGGTCACCCTGGGGTCTAGACTGTGAATTCTTGCGGACAGCAGGGAGAAGGCCCACATTGCTCACTTCTGCATCCCTCTCTCTGACTCATGCCTTGATGGATTAAGGATTCAGCCTTAGCACACTGAGCCAGATAAGAATTAAGACCCAGAAAAGGAAAATTATGCTCAAGGTGACATGCATCAGTTGATGGCTGCTTTGGGACTCAAAACCACGCAGGAGCCACCTCTAATGTTCACGTCCTTGGGTACCTTTGAGAGATGCAGAACACCAATTCACACCTCCTAAGCACTGCCCAGGGTGACCCGAGGAGCCTGGACAGGACAAAGGGCCAGCTGCTGCAATCACGGTGATGTGTTTGAATTGAATGCAAATGTTTACCTGCCTAGTTGGTGCTCATTCAGGCATCTGTCAGCTGCCCAAATAGCCTTCTCCAAATGCCCTCTTTGCATTAGGTGCCAGGCTGGGCACTGGGGACCCACAGAGGTTAAAGCACAGGCCCTGGTCTTGGAAAGCTCAGTTCAGAAAAGCAAACAGGGTGGAGAACTTAACACTTTGAGGATCTGGAACCCTTTTGGGAAGCTGATGGAAAGCTACGACCCCTGATGCAGAGAAACACGCACATACCAGTCATGCACATGTCAGGGATGCACAGAGCCCCTGAACACTCCCTGAAACAATTAAATGAGTGCGAGCAATTGCATTAGAGATAAAAACAGTGAGTACAATGATACTATTAAAAAAAAAATTCAAATGTAACCCTGATGTCCGTTATCTTGTTTGGCGGCCCTCCCGTGCCTGAGCCTTTGCAAGCCCCGCTGCCCCATCTGAAATACCCTTTCCTCACCTGCCTGCAGGTCCCTACTCCTTATTCAAGTCCCAGCACCAGGACTGCCTCAGCGGGGGAGACTTTCCAGATACCCCAGCCAGATGGCGCAGGTCCACTGTCCCCCACCTATTGTTCTGATATACACGTCTTTCTTTTAAAAATATTAAAAAAATTTTTTATTGATACATGTGTCTTCTCTAAGGAGACTGTGGTTCCTCGAGGGAAGGGATCTTATCTCATTCATCTCTGGGAACCCCCAGGCTCCACACAGGGTAGGTGCCCACTAATGACAGACGGGAATGAAGATACTGGTAGACTATTCAGTCTATGAACCAAGCGTGCACTACCAGGCTTGGCCACTAGGGGCCGCCGTCTAACATGCGATCTTCTCGGGCTTGCCAAAGGGATCGATTGTGCAGACTGGGTGGGAGCCCACGTACATTGGAAGTTTTATGTTCCCGAGCATATGAGGGAGCTGGGAGGTAACAGCCAGTGGCCCAGGTGCCTTGGGAGGATGGAGGACAACCCGAGTGGATCCCTTCTCTAGCGTGGGGCACAGGACCCGGCAGGGGATTGGAAATCATTTCCAAAGCCAGGTCTTCCACTTGCTTGCCTTGTGACCTTGGGAAAGACCGTCTCCCCGAGCCCTGTTTTCTATCCAGAAAATAGAACAATAAATTCCAACCGCTCAGGGTTGTTGTGAAGATAAAATTTGTCCCTGGCTCAAAGTTGCTGATCTAGAGCCATCAATTTTTTTCAGACATCCCCCCCCCCCCCCCCCCCGCAAGAGTACCCTTATCTAAATAAGGGTTATGTGGGTTTGGGGAAATACATTTAGTATGAAATCCACTAGTCCTTTGTTTGAGTCCTTATCCAGAGACTAAGGGCCAATGAGGCAGAGGGTGCATTGCTCAAGCCCTATGAGCCTCAGTTTTCTCATCTTTAAAATGGGATAATACCACTATATGCCACACACAGTGGTTGTTGAGATTCAATAGGAAGTAATGGGTAAAGATTTTCGGAGAGTCTCTAACACACAGAAGGACTTAAGTGTCCGCTATTACCACTGTTGTCATCATCACCAACATTCATTAAGTGGATGAATGAATGTGCAAGTGGAAGAATGAACAAACCTCCCCCTGTAGATACTGCTCCACATATACCAGGCAACACCTGGAATACAGTCTGGACTTCCATTCACCCCCCTCTGCCCTCAACCTTTGCTCCCTCTGCCTGGAATGTCCTTTCCCTCCACTTCCGCCAAGTAGAAATTTCTGTTGAATAGATACAAAAGTCCATGTGGCCTACAAAGGCCCATCTGCCATAGTTGGCCTCACAAATGACTCTTCTGCTTAAACTCTTGGGGAGCCAAAGGGACCATGAACCTGTGAGCTCTGGGGTGGCTGCCACTGGAGGCCACCTCCCCTGGGATGCTGGAACCAATGGACCAGGCCACTCTGGTCTGACTGACACTATTTACCAGCGGCATCTAGAAGACATATGGCAAAGTGGCTGTCAGCTCTAGGCTCCGGGCCCCGGGCTCCGGGCAGAATGGGAAATCCCAGTGGAGCTGGGGAGAGGCCAGATGAAGAGCCTGCTCCACCAGGAGGAAAGGAAAAGTAGGAAAGGAGATAGGAGTGGGACTCCCATGGGGCCGCAGGGCTCGGTACCTAACTTCCCTACCTGGGAAGACCTAGAGCATTCATTCAAGAAATCAACCGCAGGCACCAGGAGGATTCTGACGTATTAGGTAGGCGCGGGCTTGGACTTGTCAGAAATATTAATAATCTCACTACTGGCAGCCTGGCTGTCCCTCCCCGTGGAAAGGAGGAAAGTGTCTCCAACACTTTCACCGACTGCATTTTCTTTCCGCCCTTACATCTTGCCATGTTCCTCCACCGGTCCTTCCCCTCTAGTCTTCCTCTGCACACTCCTGTCTGCGTGGCTACACCTCCCCGCGCCCGGCAAGCTCCACGCCCACATCTGCAAATCCCAAACCCACGTCTGCTGGGAGTGGACCGTCACCCTTCCCTCGTCCCCTGAGTTTCAAAACATTATCTGGATCTGTCAGTTTCTCACCATCGCCGCTGCCAACGCGCCAACGCCATGCCACCGTCATTTCTCACGCGCTGCCCCACGAGATCCCTGTATACAGTCTACCTGCATCTCCACAGAGCAAGCTACAGGAATTGTTTGAAGTAACGAGCCAGATCGCATCATTCCAAAACCTCCTGAAGGCTTCCCATCGCACTTTAAATGGAATCCAGACTCCAAAAGCCTGGAAGGCCCATCATAGAGTGCTCTGCCTCCCTCGCCAAACACCACCCCATGCACACCTCTCTTTTGTTCATGCTGCTCCTGCCACACTCGCCTGCTCTGTTCTGAGCGCCGCCGGCACATGCCTGCCCCAGGGCCTTTGCACATGCCGTTCCTGCCTCCTGGAACGATCCTGCTCTCATCCCTCGTCCTAGCCTCTTTCAAGGTGCAGCTCAAATGCCATCTGCGTGAAGACTTCCTCTCACATATACCGGGATGATGGGGTCCCTCTTAGTGCCCCCATGGGACCTATGCTGGCCCTTGTGTGGTGTGTATCTCATCTTGTCTAATGGCTATTTGTACCTGAACCAGTCATTTCCTCTGGACTGTACAGGGAGGGCCTCCAGGCGTGTCTAGTTGCTCTTGGTGTTCCCAGCACCCAGTCCGAAGTGGGTGACAATGAGTGTTGAATGCACCAGTGTCCCATCTCCCCTCTCTCCGGACCTCGGGCTCTGGGAAGAGGGGCTGATAGGAGCAGGGCCACGTCTTATCACGACCACACCTCAGGCTGTTCATCTCTCGCCATTTCTGCTGAAAACCCTCCATCAGAGCCAGGCTCTGTCCACCTCTTAACGATTACCCCAGGAGCATCACTGGGAGAAAGCGGGAGACAGCAGAGGCAGGTGAAGGGTGAGAGCACAGGCCCAAACCCCTGCTCTGCCGCTCAGCAGCTGGGTGCTCTTGGATACGTTCCACAATTTCTCCGTGCCTCAGTTTCCCCTCCTGCCCAACGGGGTGAAGAGCAACGCCGCGGGAATGAATGAGACAATGGGTGCGGTGTGCTTAGCGCACTTAGCAAACGTGAGCAGGCGGTGACCGTGGCTGCTGCCAGGCCTGCTGGTCCGGCCCTGCGGCCGGGGCCTGGGGATGCCCAGGCAGCGGCGGAAAGTAGGGCAGTGCTGCCTCCTGGTTCACACCTCCACCGCCTCCCCGGCCCCTCGGTCTGGGTGGGAAATGGGTTGTGGGCAGGACCGGTGCCGGGATTCCTCATTTCCGATCCAGTCTTTGGGGACACACACTTTGGGCTTCATTTAATCATCGAGCTTCTTAATTAGTTTTTTTTTTTTTTTTTCCTTTTTGAAAATCCGAGTTGCTAAGCTGTCCGCACCAGAGGAAGTGGACATGATTGGTCCTGCAGGGCCCTGGCTTCCTGAGCCTGGCCGCAGCTGGTCCTGCTGCCTGGGAGGCCCGGCTCCATCGGGCCCTCCAGGGCCAGCGAGGGGCGGAGCTGCGTCCCTCACCTCACCCCCTGGGGACACAGCAGAGACGAGCCCAGGGCTCTGCCCGTGAGGGACAGGCCATGGGAAGGGATCCATCGCTCCTTCATCCAGCCGCCACCTATCCAGTGTCCTGGGTGCCAGCCAGGCCCCCGTGCGGGGGAGCACGCTGGGAAAGGGATGGACGTGGTCCCTCTGGGAGCGCATTGCCAAGAGGAGGGAGGGGCCAGGACACAATCGTAAACCCGCTGGGTGAGGCTGGAGAGGTCTGAGGAGCCCCTAGGACCCCAGGTTTGGGGGACCCCAGCAGCTGACAGAGTGAGGAGGCTGGGCCCGCCCAGGACTGGCGGGACGGTCTCCCCCTCATTCCCTCTCAGCCCTTAGGGAAAGCCTTTCATCATTTCCGTTTCCAGTGGGCTCGGCCTCGACTTAAATCCCATCGTCATTCACTCCTCAGTCCGAAAGGGAGCCCCGAGAAGCGTTTTCCAGGGGCCCCTGCGGCCTCTGTGGCTGTTGTGTGTCCGGGAGCAGGTAAGAGAAGTCACCAGTCACAGAGCGGTCCCTGGGCCTCTGATGCTCAGCTCGTCCTGGCCCCTGCACTGTGCAGGTCTCATACACGCGCGCACACACACACACACACACACACGCTCAGCTCCCTGACCTTCCACCGTGTGGCCTGGCCCACCATGCAGCCGGCAGGGCAGGAGCGGGAGGGGGGAAAGCACCCTCCACTTTGCTGAGGGCCAGGCACCTGCTGGCACTGCACCCGCACAGCCCCCGGCGAGAGAGGCAGTCTCACTCGGAGGAAACCAGGCTGAGAGAGAGAAAGATGGTTGCCCACCTTCACACAGCTGGCAGCTGGTGGAGCTGGGATTTGAACCTACGGCTTCAGACTCCTAGTCCAGTGCTTCTCCTACGACACAGTGGCTCCAGACCCGGGGCCCCTGGCTCCTAGAGGTCCCCGGAGGGAATGACAAGGGTCTGATTTAAAAGCTGAACGAGAAAGGCTCTCTCCCCGGACAAAGGGCACGCAGGCAAATGGAAAGCATTGTTTTAGCCGGAACCCGAGCAGCTCAGGAGAGAGCGCCACGCTGGGCGGAAACGCTCGCGAGCGGTCTCTCGGCTTCGGAACGGGCGGATGACCAATGCTTGCTGAATGAAGGCAGGTTTTTGGAAACCCAGCTCTTCAGAGCTTCGGGACAGCTGGTCACGATGGAGGGATCTTGGTGGGGAAGGGCCTGTGACCACGGCATGTCCCTGAGGCTGCCGGCCAGGGCCCCAGACCAGAAGAGAAAGACTCAGAGAGGTCCAGGCACCCCCCTGAGGCCTCACAGCCAGGGAGGAGCGAAGCCAAATTCGAGCCTGAGGCCAGTGCTCTTTCTGCTTCAAGGTGGGGTCTCATCTTGCAGGACAGCAGGCCCCCAGCCCAGCCTGAGAGGGTCCCTCAGGGCGGGGGGTGGGGGCGGGGGCGCGCCCGGGACCTAGGTACCTTCTCGTAATACTGCAGCTCGTAGTCCAGGATGACGCCGTTGGGCTGGTCCGGCTGGGACCACGACAGGGTGATGCTGTCCACGGTGCGGCTCACCTGGTGCATGATGGACACCGCCGATGGAGCTGGAAGAGAGGTCGGAGGTCAGAGGTCAGGGTGGGCAGGAGAGGGTGCAGCGTCTGGCCCCACCTCAGAGGTGCCCGGAGAGGGGAAGCGTGTAGCTGAGGCCACACCCTGGGGAGATGGCAGGGTGCAGAGGGACTCACACAAGGTCACAGGTGCCCCCCCCTCGGCCGAGGTGATCCAGCCCCGGAGGGACCCTGCTCCTCCCTTCGCCTCCTTCCCTGTGATTCACCTCCTAGCAACGAGGAAAAGTGGCAGACTGTGACCCCACAAAAGGACTGCACCTTTCAAGCTCGAGGGGCATCAGGAGGCGGGTGCAAACTTGCATGGCTGGGCACCGCCGCCCGGATTCTGACGCCATCGGTCTGGGCAGGGCCCAAGATCCTGCAGCTCTAAGAAGCTCAGGTGCTGCTGGCCACCGGGCAGGGAGGTACCTTGTCCGAGGTCACCGCGCAGGCAGAGGTGGGCCAGGACCAGAGCCCAGACCAGCTGGTCTAGTACCTACCCACCACGCTGCTTCCCCACAGCCTGGCTTCTGCCCACGATGGGCCCTCTCACTGCCCAGCCAAACCTGCTCCTGAGGTTTCTGGGCCCAGGTAGTCATGAGGCAGAGGGACAAGTAGCTCCAAGAGGCGCGGGCCGAGGCTGCCGGCTGCCAAGCATCTGGGGGCCGGACCCCCAGGCCCAGGGGCCTGTCCTGGCCTGAGGCACCGGGGAGCCGCGCAGACCTGCCGTGGGGATGGGGACCTGCTCCTCCACAAGCTTGTCATTTTGTCTAACACTGACCAGAGAAGAGAAAAGGTCCTCACAGCTAACACCTCACACTTCCTGGTCCACGCTATGCCCGGCCCTTTCCCAAATGCTTTCTGTGGGTTGATTCATTTAACTGTTCTATCCACCCCGACGAGGCTGCTGTTATTGACCAGCATACCCATTTTATGGATGAGAAAGTGGAGGCACTGAGGCATGGAGTAACTTGTCCCAGTGAGCAGGTGGTGGAGCTGATGTCTGAATCCAGGCCCACCTCGGTCCCGCATATCCGCCCTCCTCCGGTGGCCGTGGCTGACGCAGGCTGGCCGGGGAGGTCTGGGAAGAAGCAGTGACCCTCAGAGCACCCGGCCCAGCTCCCACGCTGTTGCCGCAAAGCCTGCTTTCCTCGGCTCCTGTTGACTCAGCTCCCTGCCACCCACCAGGCCCGCCCCGGCTCCGGGAGCTCAGCTGTCGGTGGAGGCAGGTCCCCCGCGGCCGTGGGGGTCCGGGGCCGGCCGGCTTAGCGGGCAGATTTGGGTTACAGGCAGCTCACCCGCCTCTGATCCCGTAAGCCCCGTGTCCCTGGGTGTGGCAAGGAGGCGGCATTGCTGGGAAGATGATCAAGGCAGGCCCAGGGGGGCCGGGCAGGGCCGGCCTTTCTGCCGGAATCCGGAGGGTATTAGCTGCGGAGGACAGGGAACAGCTGGATGCTCTCTCCTCCCCCCTGCCGCCCGCTGCCCACCCCGGGGTGTCAGGTTTCCCTATGAGCTGGCCTTGGGGGATTCTGGTATTTTCAATTACCCGCCGGGCACACTGGCAGGGGATGGGGTCAGCGATGTCCTGTGACCCCTGCAAGGAGATGAAGCCCCTGGGAGGAAGCACAAAAGAGGCTTGTGACCGAGAGGGGGCGGGGAGGCCAGCCGGGCGGGGCCGCGTGGCTGGAGCAGGTGGTCAGGGGCCCTGCTGCCTCCGGTGAGCCCTGGGGGAGGATCAGCCCCTGCATTAGCTGAGACCTGGGGAGCGGCTTCTGTGTGCGCCCCCGTGTCCCCCGCAGGGCACGACGGGGTGAACGAGGTGGTCTCCCAGGGCGTTCGGGACGAGGACCCTCTGATAGGAAGGAAGTCTGGAGGCCTATGACCCGCCTGTCAGCTTTGCCTCCATAGCCCTGAGCTCTGAGGAATGAAGGCGACCCTATACTTGGCTTTTGCTCTGCACCAGTGAGAAGACCCCAGGAGCTTAGAGGGCATGGGGGTCGCTGGGCGTTGGACACCCCGAGACGCCAGCCCGCCTCTCTGATCCCCGGCCTCTCTGACATCTCCACTCCCGCAGACAGCCCTCAGTGGCTCCCACTGCAGCTGGACTAGAACACAGATGCTCCATGTGCCCGCAAGGCCCACCTGCCTGGTGCCTGCCACCTCCTGCCGCTCACCGCCCCGCTCCCACGCGCCAGCCACACCGGCTGCCTTTCCGTTCCCAGTCACACCAAGGCCATTCCTTTCCCAGGGCCTGGGCCTCACGTGCCTGCCCGCTACCCTTCCCCCACATCTTCCATGGCCGGCTCCGCCTCTTCATTCCGGTCTCAGCTAAACCGCCGCCTCCTCCGAGAGGCCCTCCCTGACTTCCCCTCCACCTGCCTACCCCTGTCACTCACCCTCTCACACACTGTTTGATTCAACCCTTTACGCCTAGTGCCTGGAACAGGGTGTGGCTCAGAGTAGGTGCCTTGTTGATATTAACTGGAGGAAGGAAGGGAGGAAAGAAGGAAGGAAGGAAGGAAGGAAGGAAGGAAGGAAGGAAGGAAGGAAGGGATGAAGGAAGGATAGAAGCGAAATGTGGCACTTGGAGGGGGTCTCTTTCAAAGGGAGGCGTCCCACCCTTAGCCCTCTCCTTCGTCCATGCTGCTCGGGACACGGAAGTGACAGCAGGAGCTCTTGCAGCCAGTTTGGCCCACAAGGACAAGACGCTGTGTGCTGAGAAACCTGGCTGTCCTAACTCCGGTCTGTGACATCCTTTGCCGATAAGAAAGAGACAAACCTTCATTCGGTCCAAGCCATTAGGATAGACAGGTTGTGTTTATCGCCTTCCTATATCTACACCCTTTGCCCTGTCCCTTGTTCGTCCCCACGCGCTCTGACCCTGGGCTCGGCCATGGACTTGCTTTGGCCAGAGGGAGGTAAGCAAACATGACATAAGCAGAGGCTTGGGAGTATCTGACACTGTCTTGGTTCCTTGGGATTGCCCAAGAAAGAGCATGCCCATGCCGAAACCGGTTTGGCTCAGCATCGGTCTGCGGACTGAAAGGTCCCAGGTTCGATTCCGGTCAAGGGTATGTACATTGGTTGCGGGCACATCCCCGGTGGGGGTGTGCAAGAGGCAGCTGGTCGATGTTTCTCTCTCATGGACGTTTCTAGCTCTCTATCTCTCTCCCTTCCTCTCTGTGAAATATCAATAAAATAAAAAATAAAAAAAATAAAAAAGAAAGAAAGAGCATGCCCAGGCTGACCTGCTGGGGGCTGAGACTGGGAGCAGAGCTGTTGTCTCAGACGGGGCCACTCCCACCAGCTGACAGCAGGCACCCCCAAACATGCACGAAAGCCCGACAAAACCCAAAGAGCTGTCCGAGAAGATAGAACGCAAACGTGTGAACGCTCCCCGCCCGGCCCCCGCCAGCCCACCCGGAGACTCCTGAGCTAAAATAAGAGCTGCTTGCCTTCACGCCATAGGTTTTACGGTGGCCGAGCGGCCTGTTATTTCTCTTCCTGTTACCTGTAGCCAAACCCGATCTTCACCGACACCCGGGGCGGGCCATGCCTTCCCTGCAGAAAGCTCGGGAGGATCAAAGAGGACGATGCATTCAGGGGGCTCGGCCCAGGGAGGGGAGCGCCCTCTCCCTCTCGCTTCCTTTCCCCAGGCACGGGCCCCCTCTTGGCCCGGCTCTCTCTGATCCTCCCCACCCCCGGGGAGAGGAGTCAGTGAGCGCACGCTCACGCCAGTTCCAGAGACGGAGCCGCTGTGTGCCCACCCCGCAGGAGGGCAGGAGGATCAGAGCAGAACACGGTGGCGGGAAGGGCCTGGGCAGGTTGAGAGTCTTTTCACGTGAAAGCCGTGGGGAGTGGGGTTACCGGGCCGGGCTAACCTGGAGACGGCCTCTGCCAAGGAGCTGCTGACTTACCTTGGGCCGGTGGTCTGCAAACTCATTAGTCAACAGAGCGGCAAACGTGGCTTGCGAGCTGCATGTGGCTCGTGAGCCGTGGTTTGCCGACCACTGTCTTGAGCAACCACTTAGAAACCTCTCTGGGCATCAGTTTTCTCTTCTCTAAAAGGAGGCGTTGGCACTGGCTCAACGCCAAGGCCCCTGCCAATGCTGATGGGCTTGCATGTGACTTGTGTCCTCTTTTAGGATACGCAGTATCATGGCCCCTAGAGATGTCCATGTCCTGATGCTGGAATCTGTGGGTACGTTCCCTGACCGGTTTGGCTCAGTGGATGGAGGGTCCCCAGTCAGCTTGCGGACTGGAGGGTCCCAGGTTCAATTCCAGTCGAGGGCATGTACCTTGGTTGTGGGCACAACCCTAGTAAGGGGTGTGCAGGAGGCAGCTGATCAATGTTTCTCTCTCATTGGTGTCTCTGACTCTCTATCCCTCTCCCTTCCTCTCTGTGAAAAATCAATAAAAAATGTATTTTTTTTAAAGAGGGACTTTGTAGATGTGATTAAGGTTACGGCTCCTGAGATGGGGAGATTATCCTGGATTACCCAGGTGGACCCAATCTAATCACTTGAGTCCTGAAAAAAAGGGAACCTTTCCCAGCGGAGAGTCAGAGACCAGAGAGCCGGAGTGGCACTCGACGCCAGATCGCTGGCTCTGAGGCGGGTGTGTGTGTGGGTGTGTGTGTGTGTGTGTGTCACATGCAGGGACCAGAGAGAGGGCAGCTCCCGGCCAACAGTCAGCCAGGACACGGAGACCTCCCTCCTACAACCACGCGGCACCGAATTCTGCTACCGCCCAAGTGAGCCGGGAAACGGGTCATCCCTTAGGCTTAGAGCCTCAGAAAGGAACACAGCCTGCCGACACCTAGGTGTTAGCCAGCCCCACGCGATCCGGACTGGCCTGGGCCCTTGGAACTGTAAGATGAGACACGGGTGGCATCCTAAGTTGCTAAGCTTGGGGCATTTTGTGACGACAGCCATAGGAAATGAGCACGCCTTCTGACTTCATGGGAAGCCTGACTGTCACGTGTTGTGCACCTACCA